GATGAAAATTTACTAGAATTTGTATCATGCAAGCAGATAGAAAATGAATGTATTCATTTACAAATAGCAAAGTTTGGAATACAGAGTATATTTTGAAGATATACTGCAACATGAAAGAAGAATAAAAAAATAGATATGATGTACTTTAAAGAGTCTATCTAAAATAATGCTTGTTGGAATTTAATTATTTTAAGTATTCAGGTCCTGCAACGCAGGAGACCCAGGTTTGATCCCTGGGTTGGAAACATCCCCTGGAGAAGAGAATGACTACCCATTCCAGTATTCTTGCCTAGAGAATTCCATGGACAGAGGAGCCTCGTGGGCTACAGTCCATGGGGTCACAAAGAGTCAGACACGACTGAGTGGCTAACACTTTCACTTTTGCAATCTCAATAACTATTGTCAACAATTTGAATTTTAAGTTCATAAATTGGTATTTTTTGTTTAAATCCTGGGATAACATGGGTAGGAATTATTTCACATAAAAACAAGAGACTCTTGGAAAAATTTTTGAACTCATAAAATGCATACTTAGAGAATAAGCTTGCAAGTCTTAGCAATAAAGCAAAATTTAATTTGAATATTCTCCTAAATCATTCAATTGAATGGAAAAGCCTCATACATACTTGTAAACAAAACAGTGCCACAATGTAACATGTCTTCATTCAGAAACTGATCAGGAGATAGCCAAGCCTTTTTAGTTAGTGTTACATATATTAAATATATATACAAATTTATCAAGAAAAATAATATAAACAGTGATTATCACTTTGGTAAGGCATCATTTGGTAATGATACAGTATCAGTACTTGAATTCACACTTGACTGGAGAGTTCAAAAACACAGATGTAAATCCTATATAAAATGGCTTCCAGTGACTACTATAAACACTATTAGGTAGTTGATATTTTGATATGATCTTGTTATTCTCAGATCTCACTGTCTCAAATGCCAGGAAAAAGAAACTGATTTAAGTAGCAGCTGGAGAAAACTGGATAACAACATAAAATATAAAGGGTTTTGATCCAGTTTGGAAATTAATAGAGGTAAGCAAAAAAGTTATGGGATATCCTCCTTGGAGATATTTAACAGCAAGATAAACATCCATCTGTCTAGAACAGTTTTACTGTGGCTTGCCTGAAGGAAAAGGAATAAGATCTGCTAATTTGCAGAATTTCTACAGCATCAATTTCATATTGTCAGGATGTTGCCTTGAGCCTATTTAACCAATCCACAAGCTTAAAGCAAGTGCTTCCAGTGAAAATCTTCTCTGATACCTGGAATTTACTCAGAATAAAGCCTGAATATGTGGTAAATCCAATAAACCCAGTACAGTGCATTAGACCAGTATTTTAGACAGTGCTATACAAAATATCAAGGTCTTCTCTGTAGCTCAAATGGTTAAGAGTTTGCCTGCAATGCAGGAGACCAGGGTTCGATCCCTGGGCTGGGAAGATCCTCTGGAGAAGGGAATGGCAATCCACTCCACTATTCTTGCCTGGAGAATCCCCATGGACACAGGAGACTGGTGGGCTACAATCTGTGGGGTCGCAAAGAGTCGGACATGACTGAGCAACTAACACTATACAGAATATTTATCCTGATGCAACTGAAGCACATATTTCTTCTGTAAAGCCTTCTTTTTTCTCTTATATCCCTGAAAGACTTGAAATACTAGCCATCATGGGACCATGAAGCCTTGTCCAAACTGTAAATGAACACACTGGCATGATACACAGGACAGAGCATTATGCCTCTCCTTCCCACACTGAATGGGCTTCCCTTGTGGCTCAGCTGGTGAAGAATCTGCCTGCAATGTGGGAGACCACATTTTGTTCCCTGGGTCAGGAAGATCTGCTGGAGAAGGGATAGGCTTCCCATTCCAGTATTCTTGGATTTCTCTGGTGGCTCAGCTGGTAAAGAATCTGCCTGCAATGCTAAAGACCTGGGTGAGATCCCTGGGTTGGGAGATCCCCTGGAGAAGTTCAAAGGCTACCCAATCCAGAATTCTGGACTGGAGAATTCCATGGACTGTATAGTCCATGGGGTTATAAAGAGTTGGACACTACTGAGCAACTTTCACTTCCCACATTGAATATTTGTAATAATAATAATGTCAATACTTACGGACTTTTACTGAGTCATTACTTGATGACCTACGTTTACCATTTTAATAACAATATGAATTAAAATTTACTCTCAGTGCTAATATATTTTACCAAGTACCTTTCTTAACTTTTAATGATAAAACTAAACTTCAGACAGAGTCCCATGAAACTGAATTTCTTTGAATAGTGTAGTTTGATCTATTGTTTAATTAACTATAAAATTTTAGAAAATTGTAAGCATGATCCTTTTTAATTAAATAAACCTATAAATGTATTAAGGTATTTCAAGGTTATTTCCATGGTCTTTCGCATGGTTACGTGGAAGCCAGTGAGAATAGTAGAAATGAATTGTTCTTTTGACCATCATCATTCAGCGTCCACATAGTTTCTTAAGCTCCCTTTCCTCCATAAGAAAAGAAACCTTAAAAAATAAAGTCATTTGGATGCCATTCTACTCAGCTTTCTCCATATTCGGACTGCTATGCTTTCTGCTACCGCTGCTATTCCGAATCAGTACTGGTTCATCTTAAAGATACAGACATATTCCTTATATCACACACACACACACACGTTTCACTGCAGTATAATTTTATCCTCCAATCCCTTCAAAACCCAGAAATCAGACCTTGAATAGGTCTTAATAAATTCTTACTTTCTCAATCTGCTTTTACTGACCAACATACAGTATGAACCAACCTCCTTGAAGATTTCTGTATATTTTCTTTTCAGTAATTCTTTTCTAAAGTATTCCCTGATAACCTCAAGCAATACCTTTATCTCTTTCTTTCCTCAGTACCTGTGGCACTTCATAATTTATTTATAAATCAGGGTCTGGCACATATTTAGTACCCTCTGAGATATTTATGTATATATGTATTTTTTTCTACTTTGCAGCTCAATGTCTAATTGGTCCATGGTCTGTCTGATCCCTCACTAATATTGCAGATTAGTCCATACTCTAATCTTATCTCTCTTTAGTACCTTTTTTCTCTAATAATCACAAGTGCAAGCAATTATTATATTGATTTCATAAAAGTAAAAATTAAAGCTCAGTGAAGTTTAATGAATTGTCATGTTTACAAAAAACAAAAACAAAACAGCAAAATATTCTGAGACTCCAGTCCTAGGCTCATCTCATGGTATTTATAATAATTGCATTTAAACTGAAAAAAGGGAAATGATATGGGGGGGGGCGGAATATTTCCCAAATCCCACCAAATCAATGATGCATTCCTCAAAGTACATTGGTCAGTATCTCACTTTTCTTTTTATCTCTAAACTTTTAGAATTGCACTTTTAAAGAAGAAACAAAGAGGAATTAAGGAAGAATTCCACCATGACTAGTATCTCACTCCCAAATGCATCCTTAAACATGGGAGAAGGATTACTTGCAGACTTGGATTCCCTAAATATCATTACTAAGATTAAAAGCCACCTGTTTTCAGGCTTTAGACAGAATACTGCTAAAAGACTGCAAGAGGCATTCCCAAAAGGTGGTCAAGTTTGGCCATTACTGTTCTTTCACAGAGACATATAGACAATTTGAGAAGGTGCTACATAGGAACCTGTGTTGTTCTGACAAGAGATAATATATAGAGGCAGTTTTGAACACCCTATATCTCTGAATCTATTTGAAGATTTTCCTCAGTATTCATTAGAGATTAAATCTAAGCAAATAAAATCTCTTTAACAAGTAAATGCTAATAAAAGGCCAGGATTTTGATGGCACTATATATTTATACTTAGAAGTCTATATTTTTCTGTCTCTACCTGTACACTTAGAAAGTACAAATTTAAAACAAAACCATTTACATTGAAAAGAAGATGTAGAGGCCATAGCTTATAGCTTTATAAACAGTCGTCTTCTTTGACAAAGGAAACCATCTGTCTCACATTCACTACTTGAGAAATGTTGGATTCCACCAGGGAGAATTCTGAAAGTAAGTTAATTCTTGAAAGAGTTTCTGCCCCGTTTATTACAAAGGTAAGAAATACTGAATTCCTGATAGTTAATCTCAGCACCCAGGGGCTTTTCCCTTTACATTCCAAACTAATGTAGAAGTTAAAGAAAACACTTTACAATCTAGTTTCACAGTCAGTCAAAATCCATCATTTTAAAAGGTTAATATGATACTTTAAAATTTTTTAAGATACATATCAATAATGTTAGGATTGCCACTGTAATCTTAAATCTGATATGTAAAGAGCTATGTGCACTTGCAAAACAACACATCTACACAAGACACTAGATTAAAGACTTACCAAGGACAAATACATAGGTTTCTTTTACTTTGCTTTTTTAAAGAAGGCTATACATATCTTCTTTCATAAAGATAAAAGAGGGAAAATCTAAGAAAAGTATTCACACAAATTGAAAGACACTTTTCTCATTCTCACACTTCGGAATTTAATAAAAACGGTGATCTAAAAGCTATTTTAAAAAGCTGTAGCTCTAGGCCACATTTTCTCTAACAAGAAAATATTATCTACACTTTCCAGAAAAAAAATAGTCTGCATTTCCAATAAACACCAATAACAAGTGAAAAAGGTACTATTGAAATAAGCTCATAGTAAGAGGGAAGAAAATACATTGTAAATGCCTTTTAATCAAATCATTTCTTTAGACTTCACAAGATTAACCAACCACAAGGTATGAGGAACCTTGTGATAACTTCAGTTGTTATTTGATAACTTCAGTTTCAAGACATCTTCTAAAGGAGACTTCCTTCAGATAACATGTAACAATGATTTAAAACTTATTGTTACAAGTTCTCCTAAGGAAGCATAAAATGCATAAACTTTCACCATTTCTTTCCTGACACTTTATTTAATACGAGTTAAACCTGGAAAATGGATTAAAAAAAAACAGTATCAATTAGAAAAAATACTTACAGATTTTTAATATCAACTGCCCCACGAAAAGCTTTCCTTGGAATTGCCTGAATCTGGTTTTCACTGAGGTCGCTAAAAATAAAAAAAGGGATAAAAGATCAAGTTATAAATATGATTTAAGAGTTATCTTAATAATTATTGAGAAGTGATAAGTCACTTTCCAAAAAAGAAAGCTAAAGAAACACTAAATCATTGTAATTAAATTAATAACATTAGCTGCAATTTCTAATGCAAATATTTTATATTTCTAATAGAAATTAAAAATTTGGACAAAATGGTCTCTTGAAGTAACTTTTCAGATCTTTAATTCATAATAAATTATTAAATATGGTTCTCTTAAATTTAAGAGTTGATTCACTTCTGTGTAAAAAACTATTTCTTTAAAACAAACAGTAAATTGTTCATAACTCAATTTCAGGGATTCTAAAGAAATAGTACTTGTTATTTCTCCAACACCACTGATATAACTTAAGAAGTATATAGGAAAACAGTTCCTTTTAACATCCTAGAGAAGACTGGGCAAAACTGATAAAACCAGGGCAGTATGATTAAGTTTTCATAGCACTTTAAGTAATCTTGAAAATGGAACATGGAAGTACTGGCCCAACAATAAAACCCACAGTTCTTGCATGAAATATTAACAGCACATTGATTTAAAACCTTCTTTAAATAATTCTATTATAACCATAAACACAGACCATCTATATTTGCATTTTAATTTAATCGAGAAATACATTTTAATCAAGGGAACAAAAAGCACTCTTTGAGCTGAAAGGAGAGTTTGTAAAAATTACTCATCTCATGAAATGGATCATTATTTTTCCTTCAGAGTTCAGACGCAATTCTATAAGCTCATATAGTATTATTAGCCTTAACAAGTAGGATATAAATACACAATGCAAGAAATGTCATCGAAAAGAGGAAATTTTAAATAACGCTATCACATAGCAGAAAGCTGAAACAGCAAATAAATAAAGTATTAAGGTAACAATGAAGGTACTAAAATTATCTTTAAAATTCAAAATAACCAACGCTCATGAAGAAAGGCGAAGCTACTGACCACGGGTGTGTGGCTGATGAAACAGAGCCATTTTCCAATTATGCGGAGGCTTACTGGACAAATTCATCGACAGCCTCTCCCCCAGAGCTTCTTAAGACCAGAGCTGGTTGCTCAGACAGTTGTGACCACACAATAGAGAGAACTGGCTGATATAGAGATTTAGTATGTGGTTTTGACCTCATGAGCACCAAGTTTTAAACAACTGAGACTTGCATTTATATCTCAATATCTTCAATGTTCAAATTAAAAAATAAAAAAGGTTCACTAAGCAATCTGTAGAAACAAACGTTAGTCTATTTAAAGAGTAAAAGTCCTTAGAAAAAAGAAATGTACATATATGTTTTATTCCAAACAGTGAATTTGTAAGATACGCTTATGTAGGTGTTAATGTGGCCATTAATGTCCTAAGTGAACTGTTTTCAATAGCTTCAGGATATCCCTAAGAGTAATAAAACTTCATTTCCTTAAAAATTGCTTGTTTCTCTAGCTTGTCATTGATTCAGACGGACTTCCTTCCTTTGTTTAATTACATCCAATTAAGAATACATATTTAAAAGCCTTAATGCCAGAAACAGTGCTCAAAGGAGGCTACTAAGCTAAGAGAAGGTAAGAGAGATGCTAGAAAAAGACATTTCAGAAAGTAATAAGAAGTGAGAAGGGAAAAAACCGAGCTCAAGCAAATTTAAATCTAGGGCACTCCTTGAAAACCAATAGTGATTTTATTGTTGTGCCTCCGTCAATTCAATGTTTTCTCATCATTTGTTTTCTTTTTCCACTTCTCTAGAACAAAACAAAGACTGCTTTAGAGACGGTGTGAGTGAGAGTGTGTATGTGTGTGTGTGTTCAGTCGAGCCCTACTCTTTATGACCCCATAGACCGTAGTCCGCCAGGCTCCTCTGTCCGTGGCATTTCCCAGGCAAGAATACTGGAGTAGGTTGCCATTTCCTCCTCCAGGGCATCTTCCCAACCCAGGGATGGAGCCACGTCTCCTGTGTCTCCTGCAGTGCAGGCAGACGGATGCCACTGGGAAAGCCCAAGGTGAATAAAAATGGCAGAAATGCTGACCTCAGATTTTAGTCTTTTTGATTGCCTCAGGCAGAATTCTAGAACATAGAAAGGTTTTATTTTGCTAACACTTATCATCTTATCTTTTATATAAGAGTGAGTAACAGTTAGGCTCGGAACCTTAAGATCAATGTTTTATGTGTCACTGCCCTAGGAATACACTATTCTGTGGGGTCTCTGCACTTGTGCCCACCTCACTCTGGCAGCCAACTTCAGTTATGGATCTCAGTTCCCTTAAGTTAACTGGGCAATGTTCACCCATGACAGGAAGAAGAACCTAAATAAGTTTTTAGTACCTTCTGTATGCAATATTTAAATTTTATAAATAATACAATATCAAAATTTATATTTGAAACCATGCAGCCATCTTGTGAAGTAGGTATTATTATTATCATTGTTATTATTATTGTAAAGAAACCAAGCTTCAGAGGTGTCAAGTATTAATGCTAAACAATGACATAGAGTTGTTAAATTAAATATAGAGGAAATCCAGATAACTATTGAGTCAAGAAGAGGGGATTTCTAAAGATGACACTGGGGGCTATTAAATCCATCTCAATATATCCTTTCTGTGACCTAAAACTTCAGAGATTTTTTTTTTCTTAACTCATCCTAGACTCTGACTTATGTCATTGGCATTTTTGTGTGAGATAAATGGTACAAGCAAGGAGTATGGAGGTGCAAAGCAGAACTTTTGGTCTGGTTTTCTTAGAAGGTGTAACATGCAGTGGAGTAATAAGAGATGAGGCTGGAAGGAGAAATCAGTGGTGCGATTAGTAGACATTTTTGTACGTACTGAAGAGTGAGTTCTTTCAGTTGACAGTAGTAGGAAGGGGAGAGTGGTGGATGCGAGCTGAGCAGATGTTCTTCCTTAGATTAAACTGTCAACAGAATTTAGCAGAATATCAGGGGTCAAAGACTCAAATCTAAATAACCAGATACAAGATTTTTATGATAGTTGGGGGAAAAGTAACAAGAATGTCAAACAATACAATAACTATTAATAAAAACATTGCTTATTTACTCTGACCTAGTTAATGGATGAGGCATCTCCCACCCTTTAGATAGAAAAGGTGCAAAAGATTGAGAGGTACGAGGGATGCATGAAGAACCAAACTTAGAAGTGAATTGTATGTGGATGTGGATTAGGCAAAAGAGAGAGAGGAGATATGAGTCACTTTTAACTTAGATTAGAGGAACCATTAACAAAATTGGGAAATCAAAATTTACAATTGTCTATTGTGTGCTTGGTTGTGAATTTTTTTTTTTCAATCTCACTATAGAGATGTGATTTTTTTAATCTCACAGTTTGATGACAACAAAGAGAGTATAGGATAAGTAAAGCCTGAGTGGTACCATCTGAGAAGAGTGATTTAAAAGATCAGAGAAGTAACATTTATTGGAGACTTAGCTGACTCCAGCCACTTTCAAAATAAAAAAGGAATTTTTGGAAATGTGATGAAATATTTCTCATCCTCCAGTGTTGGTGTGGGTGGTTGACAGAAATTTAAGGAGAGGGTGAACACGCCAGAGGAATTAACAGCACAGACTACAGGGTGAGACTGACTGAGGCTGAATCCTTTAGCTCTTCCATTTGTTAACCACATGACCTTGGGATAATTGCTTATGTTTTCTGTACCTCAGTTTCTTCATCTGTAAAATGGAACAATAACAGTGTCTATATTATAGGACTGTTAGAGGGATTCAATGAAATCATATTCTTAAAGAGGTCAAAAAGTGCCTCACATACAGTAACTACTATAGAGGTATTGGTTACATACATGTTACAGTTATTCTGCTAGGAGACTAAGTATATCTGCTCTGTTCCTTGAAAGACCATTGTAGGCAATGTGAGATATTACTGATGAGAGTGCATTGTTTTGTGAACTATGTGATATGAGAAAAATGAGCCAGAACTACTGAGTTAGCAGGATAGAACTGCCAGTGGAAGAGCCTGTAATTACATCACTGGGCAATAGAGTGCAAAAATGTGCTTCAGAAAAGGAAATGGCTTGGAGTTGATTTTTAGGAAGATTAATCTGGAAATTGAATTTTGGAGCAGGCAGGGACAATTGGCAAAGAGGCGCATTGGGAAGTATTGTAGGGAAAGGGTGGGTATCCAGTGAACTAATTCTTTTTGGAGAGCATTAAACAATACAGTGGAGAGTTGGGGTTGGGTCCAAACATAAGGTCTTTGATGCATGTTAAGGGGCTTGACATCTTGGGGAGAGTTTAGAACCACTCAACTTTACTGAGGAAGGCAACAGCCAAATGCAAAAATGTGAAAAGTATTTAGGGAAAACAAGTGTGGTCATGGACGGGCTGGGATGGAAGACAAAGGGGCTAAATTTGCTCTGTAAATTTTTGGACACAAACAAATGGAAAGATACCACATGCTCAGGGACTGGAAGAACTAATGTTGCTAAAATGTCCAAAATGATCTACAGATTCAATGCAATCCTTATCAAAACTCCAATGTTCTATTTTCCACAGAAAAAGAACAAACAGCCAACCCTAAAATTTATTTGGTCCCACAAAAGAACCTGAATGGCCAAAGCAATCTTCAGTAAGAAGAACAAAGCCAGATGCATCATACTTCCTGACTTCAATCTATATTACAAAACTATAGTAATAAAAATAGAAAGATACTAGCAGAAAAACAGACAGATCAATGGAACAGAATTATGTGAGGTAATATGGTGGGATGAGATTTTAAAGAATACCAAAGATACTTCTGTTTTAAGGCTTCTAACTAAAGAACCTGCCCGCCATTGCAGGAGATGCAGGAGACATGGATTCGATCCCTCGGTTGAGAAGATAACCCTGGAGAAGGACATGGGAACTCACGCCAGTATTCTTGCCTGGGAAATGCCATGGACACAGGAGCCTGGTGGGCTATAGTTCATGGGGTTGCGAAAGAGTCAGACTCAACAGAGAGACTAACACT